AGGAAGGTCGGGAGTGCTTCCCCAAGAAAGTGATGCTTGGCGCCAAATCTGAAGGATGAAGAGAGGTTAAATAGGTCAAATGGGGTTTAAAATAATATTGAATGGTTTATATGTTGGGCAATGATAGCTAGTTTTTCTTTGGGAAAAGGTAATGTTTTTTGCTCTTAATTTTATTATACGTGAACCCAGCCGTTGAAGTTTCTTTGTGTATTTTTTTTAAAGTGCTTTTTCATTTTTGCTTAACATTGTATTCATTTACTGAAGAGCTGGCTTGTACTTTGCAGATGTCATACTTGATTATTGTTCTTAAGGATGCTGGCAACAGTTTCGGAGTTGTGAAAAGAACTTGCATTTTCAGACCTTGACCTCTGTTTCATGACTCCCATAAACTCGGAATCAGGACATCTAACCTCCTACCAGGCTGAGTGAGGTGTCCCTCTGATTTACTGCTCTCCGGTGCAGTATGCATTCCTGTCGTAGCACATACTACATTGCATCGTAATCCTGCCTTATCCACGCCAAGCGCTTGAAAGAATTATCTGTATTCAGTGGCTACTTCAATTCTCATTTATTTATGAACCTACTGCATTTTCTCCTCACAGCCCCCCAGGGACTGCAATCCAAGCTGTCAGGGAACTCATAGTCTAGTGGAAAGAAAAAATCCAACAATCATAATGCAGAGGGATTTGTGCTGTAAACTATATAAATGCCGGTAGCTACAAGCTCAGAGGAGATGCATATGTGAGTCAAGACAAAGTTGAGCCGAGTTTTGGAATTTCGTTAAAAATTTGGTCTTACTTGTTCAAACTTACTGTCACTTTTAGAAATTGTGTAATTGCAGGGCAGTTCCGTGCGCTGTCGTACTTCCACGCCGTGTGCTTTTCCCTCTGCCTGGATTGCTCCTTCCCTCTTGATTCTTCTACAGGACTGAATTTTAGAACTTGGCTATAGTAAGTGTTCAGTAAACGTTTGTATTTTAATACAGGGTATGTGCTTTGCAAAATAGGCAATGATTTCACAAGATAATGAACAGAAGTCTGCCTCATCATAACATATACCAACACCCATACTTCTTTTAAAGTCTCTGATTCTAAATCCCCTAGCGTCACAGTCTCCTCCTCTCACCCCTAGAGAGAATTTTTCTCTCAAAATCTAATATGCATTTGTATTTATAGAATATAAAATGTACCCACCACGTTTTGCACAAATGGGGAAAGCACAGCTTAGCTTTGGAGCGTATAAGCAACAAATTATAACTCTTGGCAGAAGAAGAAATGGATTCACAAAGCTCAAATTAGAAATCAAATGGGGAGACCCTAGCTTCTTTGTGTGTGTGGACAAGTGTTTTCTTTAGCTAAATCATCTATGGTATTTTCTATTTGACTCTTTCATAATAAAAGGTAGAAGTTAAAATATTTTGTAAATGTTTGTGCTGTAAATGTAAGTGCTTTCCTGCAGCAGATGTCCAGATCAACGTTTTTTTCCTACAAAGTTTTCCCACAAAATTCTAGTTCCATAGGTTTTTAAACAAATACTCAGAAAAAATAAAAAGTTGAGAGGGGATATGGATTCCAGGGTCAAATGAAAATGCTGAGTAAAATTCAAACAGGTTTTTGATTATTGATTGATTTTTTTTAAAATGAGGTACTTAAGAGCATCAAATAAACTAACAGTAATTGTGATCTCTGAGGAACAGGGTCTTTTTATAGTACACAGTGCTCCGAAACTCAGAAAGGCTCCCACCTTCCCCTCGCCCGAGAGTCTGGGTTCTGTAAAAACACTGTGCATTGCTGCTTAGATGGTGGGTACCTTTGCAGGATGCTCAGCAGGGACAGGTTCTTACCAAAGGAGTTCTCCCTGAGCTTAGAGTTTCCCGTCTGTTAAAACACATGACACTGAGGGACCACTGGTTGCAGAGATTCAGAGGTCAGGCACTTAGCCTGCTCTCTCAGACTTCCAGGCACCGCTGCCTTCTGTGGCACTCATTAAAACAGCTGCTTGGGAACATGGTTTCCAACTCTGTTGATCTTGTACCCCATACTTAGAAATCTTGAGTACACATTCCTAATATGGAAATACTTATAAATAATGCAAATGTTATTACATTATTACTGTTTTAAAATATGCAAAAATTTAAAAGCATGCATTAAAACTTAATGGACACTACAGTATTTCTTTCTACATTCCAGTGGGTCATTTTGCACACACCTTGGTGTGTACACAACCCACTTTGTAAACCTCTGGCTTTGGAGATGGGATTTGCGTATCTTACAGATCAACTAGCTTTCACCCTTCCCATGTTCCTGGGTGAAGTTTGCTTTCCAGGGGAACACTGAAGCTGTTGAAGAATGCAGGCCACTCCTAGGTGTTTACTTCTGAAGACCTCCAACGTACAGTAAGTGGAAAAAGCAAGTAATAATAAATACATATGGTCTGATTTCTTGTGTGCAAAGTTTTCAAAGTTTGTAAAAATATATAATTTATGTATAGAAAATGTCTAGATTAGTACATTAAAAACTGTTAAATTATTTCTTTTTTTAAAACATTTTTATTGATTTATAATCATTTTACAATGTTGTGTCAAATTCCAGTGTTCAGCACAATTTTTCAGTCATTCATGGACATATACACACTCATTGTCACATTTTTTTCTCTGTGAGTTACCATAACATTTGGTGTATATTTCCCTGTGCTATACAGTGTAATCTTGTTTATCTATTGTACAATTTTGAAATCCCAGTCTATCCCTTCCCACCCTCCACCCCCCTGGTAACCACAAGTCTGTATTCTCTGTCTGTGAGTCTCTTTCTGTCCTGTATTTGCGCTTTGTTTTTGTTTGTTTGTTTGAAAAACTGTTAAATTATTTCTTAGCACTGGAATGAAGGGTCTTAGGAGAGGAAGGGGATTTTTAATTTTTGCTTTTTATCCTTCCATATTGTTTGAATTTTTTATGATCTCAGATTCTTTTTATAGTAATTTCAAAAATTACTTCAGATAGTGTGATGTCAACTATGTTACAACACATTGTCCTTGTTGATTGTTGGAGTTGGGTAATGGGAACATTGGGCTTTTACTATATTTCTATTTTTGTGTGTATTGGAATATTACCATAGTAAAAAATTAAAGA